TAACCTTACTAGGAGGGGTCTAAAATGTTATTACCTACTTATTCCCATTTTATTGGATTTTTTAAGGGGGGAAAATCATCGATAGACTGCTCCCGCCTGAGTGAGGCGGGAGGGAGCGTCAGACTCTTACTGACTAAAAACCACCCCGTTCCTTCTCCTGCACGTCGAGCCGGAGCCCCGGTTACCCGTTAGGGTCTCCGCGACATTTTATTGGATAGGGCAAACAAGGAGACGGATCACCTGATGGTAAACAATCGGCGCCATACGATATTTCAAATCAATGTATCGTCAAAGGTATTTAATTTTGTACGAAAAGAAAAATACGTGTCTAAATGATTTAAGATAATTTACCAAACGGACATTTAAAAAAGGTAGGTAGGGGGAGGATTGGGTTTCCAGTTCTCCGGTAACCTCAATCACACGGCGAAAAACGACACATAACTTGTTTCACGCCGGTTTTTTATGAAGCCGTGGTATCACTGCGGTCCCGGTCGAGCCATTTTCATACAATAGTTTTCAAACCATCATCAATATCATTGTCCTAGAAACTCATATGACTATGAAAACCAAAAGCTATTCTCTGAAGCCAGCATCTCAATTAAATTTGTTTACCAACACGCTACATCAATTAACTCGCCCGTCGAGTATGAACGCTTCACATAACAAGCATAAACAGGAACGGGAACTTTTGGCAGCAATTCAAATGGGCAATATTGTAATGATTATATAGGGCAATAATATAATGGACTCATAAAATCTTCTTGCGTATAATACATGTATTTGTCACCATCCCTGGTCTACCCACGGATGTCGTAAATACCGACTTAAGGGACTACATATTTACAATCTCCGGCCACCGTAAGCACGGGCCTGCGGACGGCGAGCACGGGTGATTCGCCGCCCGCCTAAACCAGACCCGAGTATACGGCGCGTCGCGTTCCGCGCTCTCCTCAAAGAGCCATCAGACCACCACGGGGCCCAATAAGGCTGATGCCGATACGGAGCCGCGGAGGACTTAACGGGTTGCCGGGGCAGGAGTAGAAACGGGGTGGTTTTTAGTCAGCAAGAGTCTGACACTCCCTCCCGCCTCACCTAGGTGGGAGAAGTCATTCGATGATTTTCCCCCCTTAAAAAAAAGAGACTAAATATTTGTTAGAGACCGGGCAGCAGCCCTCTCTGGTACCTAAATGTGAACCTTTTAAACTACGATCTCCAAATCGCCTGCCGAATTCATTTTTGTCTTTGGCGGACAAAATTACTTTGTCTACGCAGGACCTTAATAGTAGATGACCTTAGTTAGACATATTTATTTATATTTGTCTAGACTTCAAAAGAGACGCACCTTAGAGTTTGTTTCGGCCTTTCTTTTCGGAGTAGTCAGTTGGGAAATGTCGGCCTCGTCTTGATTTGTTCTTTTATTTTATAATCGTGTAAAAGATTTTTATTTATTTATTCAACTTATTGTGCTATTTTGTAAGCTATTTGCAAAAACAAATTTACTTGTTCCACTAGATCATCTTGTTCATCGTATCTCGGGCTAGATTCAATTCGGGCACAGGAATTATTCTATAAGTCCATCTTTACATGGGACTCAAAATATTTGGCGATAAGTGGTTGTTACATTTATGTAATTTTTGCATTCTATCCTTCGGTGAATAAAAGGTAAAAGGATCTGAAGATCTTTTATTATGGATCAAAGGCATAAATTAACCTACCCTTAAAATAAGCACAGGTACCCTAGGGTACCTAACCTTTTGCAAATCATGGGTATTATACTCCTACGGATGAACGGTACACTGATTTTATTTAACAGGTATAAAGCTATTTTCGTGCACCGTAAATTAGGCCACAGGAAATTTTCGCGGTGGCTGACCTCTTTCGCGAGGAACCTCTTTTTGGGTCGGTCCCCTATACAATATTTGACAGCTAGATCGATTGCTTATTTACCAATTACAAATTGATTCCTGAAGGATGTAATTGAATTAGTTTTTTGTTTTCTTCTCAAATAAAGAAAGTTTCTTATTACATTCATCTTGTATTTATAGCTATTAATATTAGAATAGGCTTTAGTCGGATTATTCCTACTGATTTCGTTTATTTGTTAGTAAACCTTGTCATAAGTGTCAGGACAATAATGAAGACGATAAAGACGAATAATGAAATTTGGTGCAGCCATTCAAGGGTTATTTGATATGAACACTTATTTTCGTATAGCTTTGAAATCGATGCATCGATTTGAAAAAAATCTTTCACTACACGCTATTTTTCCGCTAATATTATTCCTACAAGATCCTATCGAATACGAACCTAGTACAAGACAAATGACTACGATCAATAAACAATATTATGTAGATAGATCATACAGGCAAGTTTCACGTAGGTAAAGCTACTCTAAACAATCCAATTTCTTTAATCGATTTTTGACTCTAAACCACAAAAGAATAAGGTTAGATATCGTTTAAACTAATTTGACAGTCACGGTTACCTTTACATGCTGCGTGTCTTAACGATAATTTATTTCAGTTCGTCACGATATACCCATTATGACGTCATCGTTACTATATTACAGTTTGATTTATGGTTTAAGGACAATTTTATTGGAGTTTCATCAATTATTTAGGTAAATGTAAATACGTATTATGGAAAGATACACGAATCGATCATTATAACATAACTTGTAAGACAGTCTAAGGGATGCAAGTTGAAAGCATAAAGCATTGTATTCGATTTTTCTTATGGAATAACTCGATAAACAAGGCAGACGGTCGACGGAACACCTAATGCCAAGCAATGCTTTGTTGACTGAGAAATTTAAAGTGTGGCAGAGTCATGCTTCAGCTTAAATGGGCCAGCTCGACCGGAGTGATACCACGGCCTCACATAAAACCGACGTGGAACAACGCTTGCGTTGTGTTTCGTCGTGTGAGTGAGGTTACCGGTTACCCCTTCCCCAATTCCTGAATTCCCAACAATCCTTAATCATAACATAACATAACATCACGCCTTTTATCCCCGAAGGGGAAGGCAGAGGTGCACATTATGCCACTGTACAATGTAACACCCACTTTTCACTATTTATGTTATGAGTCCCATGTAATAGGGGGTGAGCCTATTGCCATATACCGGGCACAATTCCAGACTCCGTGCTATTACTGAGAATTTAAAAAAAAACCCCAGTAATACTTTGCCCGACCCGGGAATCGAACCCGGCAGTCGCACTTGCGACCACTCGGCCAACGAGGCAGCCCAATCCTTAATCCTAATTCCAAAAGGCCGGTAACGCACTTGCAACGCCTCTGGTGTTCCAGGTGTCCATGAGCGCGATTGCTTACCATCAGGTGATCCGTCTGCTCGTTTACCGCACTAAATATAATATAAAGTACCATAAAATAAAAAGTACCATAAAATAAAAAAAAAAGGTACTGAGTAATAAACTACACTGATGACACACACAGGTCTCCCTTTGTTCGTGATCGTGTTCGTTCGAATTACCTATAGTAAAAAAATTAATATTTTTGCTATTTTATTTATTAGCAACACTTGATTTGGTTCCTCCCCGGAATATGTAAATAGGTGAATAATAGACTAACTAGAATTTATGTAGGTTGATATATACATAATAAGTATCTATATTTAACTCTAATGTGAATTGTTATGCGTTATTCCCCGAAGTGATAGATATTACAGATGGTTACACTACTTTTTATGTTAACTACATACATACATAGATATACGTCGATAGAGATATAATTGGGATGATGACAGGGTATTAAAATTAAAAATCGAATTAGTTCGTAAGTTAGACAATGAAAAAATATTAGACATGTATTTTCTTTTATTTTGTTGTATAATAAAACAATACAAGATAAAACAAGTCGCACTTGCGACTCCGCGGGCAACGAGGCAGTAAAAAAAACACATCTAGTTACATTATATTTCTTTTTTTTTTTAAATGTTTTACCCAACTTTTTCGACTTGAAAAAAGAAGGGGGTTCTCAATATACAACCTATATGTTTGTCACCGTTTATCTCGCGATTGCTTGAACAGATTTTGATGCGGTTTTCAGAAAACTGAATGTTATTACTCTATGATGTACACATCGAGCTTTAAATAACCAGTATAAACTGAACGTTAAATACGCGGAAAGATGATGCGACGCGACACCAGGATAAACTGGTTTTGTATAGATTGATGTGTGGCCGTGTGTACAATTCCCCTACTCGAGCAAAGTATACCTAATCAGGTCGGTAGGTTTATATGTTATAACAACAAGAATTGGTTCAGCTTGAAACTCGTCCTTTTATTATAAAATTTACTCGGGAATAAGACATGGCATCATTTTCTATGTACACAATAATATGTCCCTAAACCTACCAATCTTAAGAAATTCACGATACCGGCGCTAATCATATAGCTTTTTATTAGAATTCTGATCAATTGTTATAATTTCTTCTACCACCGATACAGAAAAAAAAAACATAAAATTTTATCCTAAAAAAATATTATTAAGAATTTGACATTATTATGGAAAATGTTTTCGTAAAAAAAATCAAGTAATTTCGTCTACGTTCAGCGAAATTGTGCAACTCAGTACGTAGATTATGTTTATTTATTTATAATCGGAGATTAACGAGCTAGTCAGGAAATTATTTACAGATTACTAGCCAGTCTGTATCGAATTTATCAACGTTATCTCAATCACATTAGAAAGAGTTTCTCCAATCGTGTTACGTCAGACACAGAAACATTCTGCCAAGGTTACCTACTGAAAACTTTTTTCTGAAATAGATACCTAAAGCTAAATACGTACGTTCATATTTATTTTACTTTACTATAAAATCACTAACAACCAAACCAAGCTTTTGTTCAATAATTATCTTAACAATAAATAAACTATTCGCACATCACAACCTCCTTAGACAATTTTCACAAGGCATTTTCCACAAAACCTTGATCATCTAATGTTTCAGAAAATTAAAAAAAATAAAACGTCACTTACGTCATTTCTGCTGCGTAAGGTGCTTCGTTTGGGTCGCAGGAGGACATCTTTGAAGTCCAATTTAACTTCGTTTATAATATTGGGCATCTTTCACTGAACTAAAGTCTTTGGTAATCGTAAAATGTTTTTGCTAAGCGCTGTGCACGGCCGCGCGTCCCTTCCCGCGCGCTGTATCGACTGCCCGATGCAGACAGTGTTGCTAGGAAATAAATTTTCTTTCCCCACGGGTAAACTGTAGATGTGAGTCAGCTGATGTATGGGTCAATAAACTCTCGTAGCATAAAATAATGGATATGTTATTAGAATTTTTGGATAACCTATGTAATGAAAGCTACTGACGCATGTGTTTAGGAACTTTATTTATAGTATAATTGATTATTTTATTACATTCATGAAATATTAAAATGGTTTAGGAAATTTTTTGGATTTATTTTTTTTAAGAAAATGATGTCACATATAAAAATAACAAAAATTAATTATCAGTAAAAGCGTTCCTAATAGAACTTTTTTTTTTGAGGGGGGAAAATCATCCAATGACTTCTCCCACCTGGGTGAGGCGGGAGGGAGTGTCAGACTCTTACTGACTAAAAACCACCCCGTTCCTACTCCTGTCCTTCGAGCCGGAGCCCCGGCAACCCGTTATTTCGTATTTTAAGAATTAAGATTTTGATATAATCATAAAAAAAATGAATTGATAAATTAATATTGAAAATCTACAACAACTCGGGTAGTTTTCATTCACTGGCAACACCGATAATAAGCGTGACACGAAACGTCACGAGGGCGCCAGAAATACTCGCTTTCAGTCGCTAGGTGAAGGTTATTTAATGACCGACGTTACACTATAAAAACTTCACATTTATTCCACACAAAACGAAAATTTTCCCTCTTATTTAAACTAGTTTCTTTTTAACGTCGCATTTGGGAGCATGTTATTGATAAAACAAGTCAGCTGTTCAGCTCGGGCATGCGCAACGCGGAAGATAGTCTTGCCAAATTAAAATGACATTGGAAATCCGACCGAGGACGAAGCGAGTGGTGACCATCTTATTTTACGCGTTTAACCTTACTGTTGTAAATGTCAGATAGGCACTTAGCATTAGGTATTTTATAATGAAATGCACTATGCGTGATTGATAAACTTATTGCGATTAAATGATTATCATCTTAAGTACTTGTAGCTACTAGGAATTGTAAAACGATGAATGATTAGGTGGACATTCTAAGAAAATAATGTATGTCACGCGAAAAATAAGTGGTACATACTTCGGTACTGAGTATTTAGATAATAAATTGGGAATAATGCAGGAATTTGTCAAATCGATCCGTATTTATCGAAGCTTTAAGTGTGGTAGAGCCATGCTTCGGCAAGAATGGGCCGGCTCGACCGGAGTGATACCACGGCCTCACAGAAAACCGACGTGAAGCAACGCTTGCGTTGTGTTTCGGCGTGTGAGTGAGGTTAGTGCCCAAATACCCTCCCCTTCCCCAATCTCCCCAATCCCTGAATCCCCAACGATCCTCTAACTCCTAATCCTCAAATGGCCGGTAATGCACTTGTAACGCCTCTGGTGTTCCAGGTGTCCATGGGCGACGCCGATTGTTTTCCATCAGATGATCCGTCTGCTCGTTTACCGGCTTATGCCATAAAAAAAGCTTGTTCATCATTATCATCATCATCAACAGCCTATGCAGCCCATTGCTGAGCAAAGCCTCTTCTCACACGGAGAAGGTTTGAGTATTAATCACTACGCTTGCTAAATGCGAGTTGGCGATTTCAACCTTATAATTAGAAATTATAAGCCCATGTTTCCTCACGATATTTTCCTTCACCGTTTGTCAGTGGTGTCTAAATAATCTTAAAAAGTACATATAACTCGGAAAAAGTCACATTGGTACTTGCCATTGGAAGGTTTCGAACCTGCACCCTCATGCATGATGAGAAGCGGGCGTTTTAAATCTCCGGGCCACTATGAAGCTTGTTCAACACGAACATATTTAAACTAAACTTATTTATAACACTAGCTGCTTGCACGTAGTTTAGTTTCCCGCTCTGCTCGGCACCTATTGATCATATCGTGATGTTGCATAGCTTATAACCTTCCTGGATAAATGGGCTATCCTACACATAAATAATTATTCAAATCGAACCATTAGTTACTGAGATTAGCGCGTTCAAATATACAAACAAACTTTTAGTTTTATATACCTAATAGTAGGTATTTAGGATTAGTGCCTCGTAAGCTTGGTCGAGTGGTCGCAAGTGCGACTGCTGGGCAAGGGGTCTCAGGTTCGATTCCCGGGTCGGGCAAAGTATTACTGGGCTTTAAAAAAAATTCTCAGTAGTAGCACGGAATCTGGAATTGTGCGTCCTGTATATGGCAATAGGCTCACCCCCTATTACATGGGACTCATAATATAATAGTGAAGTAAATAATAATACTGAAAATTGGGTGTTACATTGTACAGTGGCATAATGTACACCTCTGCCTACCCCTTCGGGGATAAAAGGCGTGATGTTACATTATGTTATGTTATAAGTCAAAATAAAAGTCGGTACTGAACGAATATTACATCTATATTAAAATCATTGTGGCATAGAACTCATGTCCATAATGAGAGTGGAGCGAGGGTCTTCCGGAGCCACGGAGACAGGAGTGAACGAGGGTTCTGTGAAAGAAACAAATTTAAATCAATTATTTGAAGTCATTTTGTGTTTCAGAGTATTCGGCAAAAATCATCATGGTTATCATAATTAATAATGACAGCTACAAGATGTCCGCTGCAGCGCTTCGCTGCCTTATGCGTCCCGCCTCCTCCTTAGCTAGCACGACTGCTTCGAAAAAGGAGGAGACGGCATCCCAGTCCCCCTCGCCCCGCTTCATGACCTGCACTAAATACATATATACACAAGATGTTGTTTTAAAGCCGCGTGATTTTCTAGGAGGTATCTCGGCTATCGATTCTGAGTCCGAATCAATAAAAAAAAATTTTAGGTAAATATTTTTCATTTTTCTGTAAATTACGAGAATCCGTAAGTGCGTACTACAAGCCACCGTCTTGTAACTAGCTTTATAACGCGGCTTAACACACACAAACTCAAACACGTAATTGATATTATTCCTAATTCCATAAAACTCCAATAAGAAACATTGCTGTCGCTTATTCTGAAATACTGTCGAACTTAAACGATTTATTATAGCCATATTTTTAACTATTGGCCCGAAACTTTCTCTTACATTGAACCTTTTATGACTTCTGTGACATGCCCCCGAGAAATGACACGGCTTCAAAACTACACCTTGTATATTAGTAAGAAGATGCATTTCCTCACCATCATCTTTGTCGTCTCCACCTGCCTTCCACTCTTCAAGATGTGGTGTGAACACGGCTTCCTTGTAATTCCCATAGCCATCACACTCTACATCCGAACCCGTGCGACACCGCTCACGAGCGCAATCTGTGGTAATTAATAAATTTATGGTAATCTGTGGCAACATCGGCATCGTGAGGAGTGTATTTGTTAAATCTATTATTTTACTCACTCGTGTTATCACTACATAGTATAAAACAAAGTCGCTACCCGCCGTCTGTCTGTCCCTATGTATGTATGCTTGGATCTTTAAAACTACGTAACGGATTTTGATGCGGTTTTTTTAATAGATAGTGATTTTTAAGGTATATGCATATTGCACCCGTGCGAAACCGGCATGCATACTGACAATCCACAAAAATAGTGCTTCTATACCTATAAGAAAAAGGAAACTCTTAGTTTTAATAAAGAACGATATATCGTCAATAGCCCAGAATGGTCCACCACTGAACTATGAGCCTCCTCTAAGTCCTCTAATAAGAGACGTTACCACAATCTCAACACAAAGTAGAAGATTACAGCTTTGCCTGCGCGGTCGCCGCGGTGGTTACGTAACCGGTTGCCACACAACGTGTGGTGGGTTCGATTCCCGCATGAAACAAGTCTTTGTGTCTTTGTGTTTGTCCACAAATTGTTTAGGATGTGTGTGTCATGTATATGTGAACTTATATGTTTATAAACGCACCCACGACACAGGAGACAATCCTATCGTGGGCGTGGGGCAACATTCAATTTAAAAAAAAGTATTAAAAAATAAAATTAAGTTCAGTTTATTAACTCGTTGAGTACCGTCATTATAGACACAATTTTTTTTTAAGGGGGGAAAATCATCGAATGACTGCTCCCGCCTGGGTGAGGCGGAAGGGAGTGTCAGACTCTTACTGACTAAAAACCACCCCGTTCCTTCTCCTGCACGTCGAGCTGGAGCCCCGGTTACCTGTTAGGTTCTCCGCGACTCCGAAATTAAAGAACAATAGGTTGCGGTCACCGGTGTCCTCGCGGTGTTTGACAGTTTAAGCAGTGCTACTTCTCGGATTTTGTCATATATTTCGAGAAGAGCAAGAGTATTCACGAATATATTGCCTTTACTACATGGCTAGTTAAAAACTCACCGCAATTCATATTGGAGACTTCAACCCGTGGGACTTTGATCCCCAAGATGAAGCTGCCATCTTCCAAAGCACAGTAACATACGAAGCGACGACACTGCAATTATGAGGATATAATTATACCAAGTCGAACACTACAATGAAAATAGTAACATAAGTAACATGACATTAAGCCTTTTATCCCCGAAGGGATAGGCAAAGGTGCACATTATACAACTGTACAATTTAACACCCACTTTTCACTATTTATGTTAAGAGTCCCATGTAATAGGAGGTGAGCCTATTGCCATATACCGGGCACAATTCCAGACACCGTAATTTTTTTTAAAAACCCAGTAATACTTTGCCTGACCCGGGAATCGAACCGGAGATCCCTTACCCGGCAGTTACCTTTGCGACCACTCAGCCAACGAGGCATTCAACGCAATGAACATATCAGGCAATGAAAATAGTATTAGTGTATAATATCAGAGTAGTATAAAAAAAACAAAACTTTTATATCATTGAAGTTTCTACCATATCAGCACACAATTAAGGTACATTTTTATTTGTTATAGGTAAAATTTCACCATGTACCTGGACGGGGGCATACAACCAAAGCGGAG